CCCTGCGAGCATGCTATCCACAGCGACAGATGGGCGCTGGGCCGTCGGACTGGTGGACTGGGAGCCTTGGTTCAGGGTTGACGCCAAGAGGAGCGTCGGCGGCCAGCGCAAGCGCTGGGCAGATGTCTTCGAGCACACGTGAGGCACACTCCAGCCCAGCGTAACGCCGGGGCAGGCGGGGCGCCCGCCTCCCCCACGGGCCGCTCTCTCTCTCTCTCTTTTTCTCTTTCTCTCTTTCTCTCTCTCTCTCTCTCTCAAAGGCGGAATACATGGCAACACATTTTTAATTTACGTTTTTTTTTGTGTGTGTCCTTTGTTCTTAGTTAGGCCTCCCCTTGGGGCTTTCGAGTGTCAGATCGCCTCGGGAAGCCTCCACCGAGCCCCACGGAGCTCCATCCAAAGAGTGAGTGATGCCCACCCGATGGCCAAACCGAGCCTTCTAGGTAGAGCTCGACAGAACCATCATGCCCGATACGGGCCCGTCCCGAGACCCTCGGCAAGTCCGCGACGAAGTACCTTGAGACCTCCAAGAAGAAAGACGGAGAGCGAGGCTGCGGACTTGTTGGTCAGCGGACGCGGACAAAACTGGGGTAGGGCGAGCGCAAGCGAGCAACTCAAAAGCGAATTTGGCCTCGTGCAAGAGAAATGAGGCTGTGGACACGGAAGGAGCGTTTGACCGCTTGAGGCCCGCGCAAACTCAGACAGAGCGCTGAAGTGGAAGTCTTAGGCTCAAGCTCTTTCCTGCTGCGCTGGCGCGCGGGGGGGGGTGCAGCAGGTAGCGATGTATGTGTGCAGGCTTCGCCCATCGATGCTACACTGGCACTGTACACATGTGATCGACCACAACTTGTAAAACCGACAGAAGATGCATACATGTTTGTATACGTGTGAATACAGACATACACAGACATAATTGTTTATCAGCCCGCGCTGTTACTTCCTCCACCTGCTATGCCGAGCGTAAGACATGACGAATCATGCTTACAATGAAGGTCGCCCCCTTGTGACACTGAGGTCGTCCTCTGTGTCTCATCTCACGTACCCCTATGTCTGTATCCGCCACCGTGCCCGCTGCCACGTTGAGGCGTGAAACAAATGCCAATGTCTGCCCAGCAGAGTTTTTTGGAATTCTGATAAGGGGCCTCTCCGCCTCTCGACGCAGACTGCCGCATGCATCGACCCTCCTTTCCGAGGTCACTTCCCTCGTGCCTCGTGCCCGCTCCAGCATGGTGCACTTTCAACATGGCTCGCTCGAGGAGGATGCGCTTCCCGCATGGCAGCTGATGCCTAAACCCTGACTCCGTGCGCGCCCGCTCGAGGATTGTGCACCTCCCGCATGGCAGCTGTTGCCTGAAACCCCCTTGGACGCGAGCCCGCTCGAGGATGGTGCACGTCCCGCATGACAACAAGTGTCTGAACCCTCATTCCATGCGCGCTCGCTCGAGGATTGCGCACTTCCCACATGGCTGGTACCTCCTGGACCCCTTACCCCACGCGCGCCCGCTCAAGGATCGGGCACGCCCCGCATTCCCAGGCGCTGCTCCCAAGCGCTCCAGGGCCTCTCAAGCCACGATCCCTCGCTAAAAAAGATTGATGTGCGCCCCGAACTTCCTAGACGGCCCATGTAAGCAGCCAAGGACATCACCATGGCCCAAGATGCACAGCATGCCTCCAAGAGGGTCTAAAAAGGGCCACAAGGGGACCTCCAACAGGTCCAACAGGGTCCGACGGAACCCAAATCATTGATTCCCCTAGGCTTTGAATGATTTTCGCCGTCTCGCCTTTTCGGGCTGCCGTCAACTCAAGACGGCCCATGAGGACTCCACGATGGCTCATGCCCAGGAGGGCCTCCCGTGGGACCAATGGCAACCTTCAAGGCCTTGACGGCCCGAGACGGCGCCAAGACGGCCCCACGACGGTCCCCAGACGCCGACCATACAGCCAAGAGGGCCCCAAGGCGGCCCAAGAGAACCCCCAGCAGGCGTAGGAGGGCCCAGGACGGTCCAAGAGGGTCCCAAGGGACCTCAAATACTGCCTCACAAGAGGCCATGTCAGCCCCAAGACGGCCAAAACGACTTTCAGCATCGTCATCATTATCATCATCGTCAGAAGCACCATCATCATCATCACCACCACCATCATCATCATCATCAGCATCATCATCATCATCATCATCATCATCATCATCATCATCAGCATCAGCATCAGCATCATCATCATCATCATCATCATCATCGTCATCATCACCACCATCACCAGCATCATCATCAACATCATCAGCATCATCATCATCATACTCATCAACATCATCATCTGCAACAACATCAGCATCATCAACATCATCATGAGCATCACCATCAGCATCAGCACTACCACCATCATTATCACCACCATTATCATCATCACAGACCATCGATCACCATCATCGATCATCACCGTCGACCACCATCATCAGCATCATCATCATCGTCATCAACATCATCATCAATTCCATCATCATCGTCGCCTTCCCCTCATAATCAGAATCCTCATCATCCATATCACGGCCCTTCCAAACTTGGAGACGCTTTGTGTCACATGTGACGGCCTCCCGTGCCCCCTCGAACAGTCGCTACCCAGAATGCCGTGCTGGCACGGTGACGGGACTTGCCGCAGGCAGAGCTATACATATGTATGTACATATATAAATATATACACGGGTATCCGTTCTCACTTCGAAAGGATCCACCGACACTATGAAGCCGACTATTGCGACGTGCGCTGCTTTCCTAATGATGCGGCCGTTGTTCGTGACGGTCCTTCGAGAGAAGACCCGTGGTGGATTTGGGGGCATTGGAGGGCAATGACGGTCTTCAGCGGGGCTGCTGGAGCTACGCTGAAGGAGGAGGAGGAGGAGGAAGAGGAGCTACGCTGAAGATGGCGTCGCCGAGACCGTTGTGAAGTCTTCTGCGCCTTTGCATCGTGGCGCGCACGACGGGGCCCTGTGCGGGCGGGACCACCCCGGGCCCACCGCGCGCACGGCGCCTGGAGCCCCTCCGGCTGTGACCCCGCGGGGGTGGGACGCTTTGGTTTCCACCGTCGGAGCCCTCCTCCTCCTCCTCCTCCTCGCTCCCCTTCTCTTGGCAAGAGGCCAACGGGTTCTGGACCCTGGGCTCCTCCTTCCGGGACGAGCTCTCCGTCCCGAATCTTTTGCCCTGGCGGCCCTGGGGGGGGGAGGGGCCCGAGACTGGCCAAGGCCAGCCAGGACCCTGCCCTCCCACAGGATACGAACAGAACCAGCCATCCCACACACATCGGAGCAGCTCGCCAAGGATGTTACTGAAACTTCTTTTTCAGCCGCAGAGTGGCTGATCTCCATCTGGGCAGGAGAGCCCAGAATCGAATCGATAAGTCGGATCGGCCATCGAAGCAGATCGGATCGGAGGAAATCGGCAGCCGAGTCGGGAAGAGTCGAATCGGCGGAAATCGGCAGGCTAGTAGGCCTCCATTGAGAAATCGGAGCCCAAATCTGAATCCGAAGTCGCATCGAATCGGAATCGGAGGCCATCGACATCGACTCGAACCAAATCGGAGGAGTCGAACTTCACCCTGCGAGTGGCTCGCCTCCACCCGGGAGGCAGCCCTCCAGGGCCAGAGGAAGAACCCGTGGCCTCCGCACGACCTCCCGACGGCCCGCGCACATTTTCCTCGGGCCGGCGCGGGACACCCCCTCCTGGGGAAGCGAACTCTATACACCGACGCTTTCCCGACACTGCGCTGAAATTCGCACAGGACCCTCCCCAAATCCGGGGATTGAAAAACAGCCCGCCACTGGCGGTGTATATATGCTCCAGTTTCCTAACCGTGGCATCAGCACGAACCTTCGGCGGCCCGCACGAACTTTCCTCGGGCCGGCGCTGGGCATGCCCCCCCCCCCCCCCTGGCGCGCGGAGGGCGCCAGGGGGGCGGCGCCGCACACGCCGCCCAGAGCAGATCGAAGACATCCACGCTGACCTCATGAATTTTTTCCGGTGCGACCTTTGTCTTCGGCTACACGTCGTTCGTTTCTCATCGTGCTCATCTCTAATTGTGCTCGTGTCCAACTGTTCCTGGCCCCCTAGTGGCCAAGAAGAGGCCCAGGACAGAACAACTAGAAAGGAAAGGATCTGGGCCCCCCAAGAAGTCAAATAACTTTCGAATAATGCGGTTCAGGCATGGGGCCCCACGGACGAGGTGCCTCGAACAGTGTACATTCCACCTGGGAGCCCTTCCTTGTCTTTATTGGCCAGTCCCTCAGGGTCGCAACCTTGGATTGGCGGCGAGCGAGAGGGGAAAGTGAGAAAGAGAAGGCCTTTTCAGAAGGTTTGGAAGTCCACGGGCCTTCTGAGAAGTTTTCTAAGCCTTCCCCGAAGACAGAAAAAACTACTCAGAAGGCGCGAGGGCTTCTGAGAAGTCCCGCCGCCTTCTGAGAAGGCCTTCCCACCCTCGCTCGCCGCAGCTTGGAGCCGCCGACCTTCCCGTCGTGCCTCCCCCGGGATCCTGCGACTGGCCATCGCTCGGACGTCCATTCCCTGTGTTTTTTTTCGGTTTCTTGCGTGGTTTTTTTCGCCAAATTATCAAGGATGCTCCTCGATGGTCCTCGCCGAAGGAAAATGCACACGTCCGAGCGATGCCGAGGCGAACACACTGCAGCCTCGCGGAAAAAAAAACACAGCCGGAGCCCCAGACCTCAACGTTCTGCGGCACCTCTCCCGGCCGGACCGGCCTGCGACTGCCACCGGCGACCGGGCGACAACGCCCACGGCAGAACTGCGGCGCCTGGGCCTCGAGGGCCGTTTGCCTGCCTGGGGCCTGCCGCTTTGGTGGTCGCGGCGCTGCCCCCCCCTTCAGCAACCTGAGCTGGCCGCACGCCTTCTGGTAGAGCCCAAACGTTAGATGTGTGCGGTCGTCGTCGTTTTCGTCGTCGTCGTCGTTGACGCCGTCAGCTGGCCGAAGTCAGGGCCCGGCCCCGCCCTCCAGGCCTTGAAATCCTTCAGGCCCGACACGCCGGGCCACACCTTCTGGGTGACGGCTGGTGGATGAGGGGGAGGAGGCGGAGCAGGAGGAAGGAGGCGGAGGCGAAGGCGAAGGCAGAGGCGAAGGCGAAGGCGGAGGCGGAGGCGGAGGCGGAGGCGGAGGAGGAGGAGGAGGAGGAGGAGGAGGAGGAGGAGGAGAAGGGAAGGAGAGAAGAGGGAGGAGGTGGGAAGGTGGAGGATTCAGGAGGAGGGAGGAGCACGCAGCCGGAAGGAGTCCGTCGCGCGCAGCGCTAACGGCCACTTAAAGTTGGCTCAGGGGGTCAACTCCGAGCCCGCGCTCGCACCGCACTGATCCACGGAAAAGAGGAGGGAGGAGGATCGAGGATGGAGGATGGAGGACGGAGGATAAAGTATGGAGGATGGAAGATGGAGGATTGAGGATGATGATGACGACGAGGATGAGGATGAGGAGGAGGAGGAGGAGCAGGATGTGGAGGAGGAGGAGGAGGAGGAGGAGGGGGGTAGGAGGAGGAGCGGGAGGAGGGGGAGGGGGAGGCGAGAGGGAGGGAGCAGGGAACGCAGGAGGAAGGGGGGGGGAGGAGGAACGACCCTCCAACGAGCCTCTGTCACCGCGTCGGAGCTGTGGAAGTCCCGTCTCTGCCAGATGGGGCGCGCGGCGCGCGCGGCCCGCGCCGCCTCACTTCTTCGCCAGGAGCCGACCTAGAACTAGCAGCGCTTGCCACGGGAAGGTGAGGTTTGCCTCGCAGGCCTGTAAGAGGGACGTGAGCTTCTCGATCCCCCCGAAAAGGAGGCGCTCGATGTCCACGGGTGATATTTGGTCGGTGTCCTGACCAGCTCGAGACTTCATGGCTGTCACATCTTTGAGGATTCGCTCTGGTGTGAGCTTCGCCCATTTTTCGTCTTCGCGAGCAGTGCCACCGCCTGCAGGTCCTGCGCCTGCCAGCTCGGGGGCTGCGCTTTGTCGAAGAAGCGAAGTTCATCTGCCCGATGGAGGAAGGTTAGCCGTTGCTACTCTGCGCTGCAGCCACCTGCTGCGGTAAGCCTTTGGCCGAGATTTGCCGGGAGGAGGAGGAGGAGGAGGAGAAGGAGGAGGAGGAGGAGGAGGAGGAGGAGGAGGAGGAGGAGGAGGAGGAGGAAGGGGAGGACGTGGAGGAGGCAGACGATGATGATCAGGAGGAGGCGGAAGATGAGGAAGAGGAGGAAAAGGAGGAGGAGGAGGAGGAAGAGTAGGCAGACGATGCTGACGCGACACACGGCGCTGGCGCTGCCGGAGTGGCGATCAGGCGGTGCTCGCGCGGGCTCCTGGATGCGTGCTTGCCCTCTGCCTCTGTGCCCGCCCACGCTTTTTCGTGTGGCTGTGTCCTCGCTGTGCTCACTGGGGCTGGTCGGTGCATCGATGTGTCGAGAAGCGTGCGGTCGGGAGCTTTTGCTTCGCCTCCCGCAGCGGCGGCCCCAGCGGCATGCTGCGACCTGCAAGCGGACAACGTGTCGCTCCGCTCCGCGGGAGGGGCGCGGGGAGTCGAAAGGCTCGGAGCGCGACGCTCGGGGACCTGGAAAGTGGTCAGCGTGTCGCGCCGCAGCGTGGTGGGTCAGAGCTGGCGGCGTGATACGCTAAGCACAAGTTTCCCACCGTAGTTAGACGAGCACATTCCACTACTCGCAAATTAAACACTCGCGAATGGCCTGGGTTCGCCGCGGGGGATTTACGATATATTACACACATGCAGACGTTTGGCTTTTCGGACGTTTGCGAGTAGGCACTTTGCGAGTAGTAGAACGCGCTCGGCGAGTAGTGGGGGCCGTGAGGGCGTCGTTGGCGCCGAAAAAGCCTAGGCTCGCGCATGACCTCATGATCCAGGCTATGCTCCGCCGCAGCGTCGGGGTTGATGGCCACGCAAGTACTTTTTTGACGTTGATCGTGGATTTGGGCGGCCCCGCGGTAACCCTCCCAGCATCGGCACTCGCGAATCGCAACATCAATCCCGCGCCATGTGCCAGATTGCGGCGCGCACGGGAGACACTCCGTGAGGACAAGGAGGTTGCCACGGCTTGAGGGTCGATGTTGTGTCACTCTTGCAATCCGCCGCGTAGATGTGCACCTTGCCAGAGTTCGGTCCGAACGGCGAAGCAGGATCCTCCAGGGCGGAGAGGCACTCCCAGTCAGCGACCTCGCTCGAATCGTGGCGGCGAAGGCTCAGGGCTGCGGATAGAGCGCGGAAACTTCGAGCTGCGACTTGCGCGGTTTCGGCTTTTTCTGGCCTTTGCCGCCCCTGTGCCTCGCAGGCCGTGAGGTTGAGGCAGTAATAGTGCGGTAGATCTCGTTGACGGCTTTCTCCCCCTTCCTCCTCCTCCGTCCCCACCTCTTCTCACTCCTCTTTCTCCTTTTCCTTCTCCTCCTCCTCCTCCCTCCTCCCTCCTCCTCCTGCCTCCTTCTCCTCCTCCTCCTCCTTCTTCCTTATGGATAACTCCTCCCTGTCGCACCCCGAGGCTGGTCGAAAGTGCGGGCTTGGTGTTTCGGCTGAGACTTCCTCATCATGCATGACCCTGATGCCGAAACACTAACAACGGTTTCACATATGGAAGGCGGCCCACTTCCCAAATGTGGCTCTGGCTTATCGCTGCGCACATTCGTTTTCAACAGTTGAAAGAGCTTCACGCATTGAGGGCGGGTGGCTTTCAAAAAGTGGCTCTCGCCTTAGCGCCGCGCACTTTTGAACATTTGCAACGGGTTTCATGGATTGAGGGCGGGTGATTTTCAAAATGTGGCTCTCGCCGCAGCGCCACGCACATTCGCGTGAAACATTGGCACGCGTTTCACGGATTGAGGGCGGCTCGTTTTCAAAACGTGGCTCTCGCCTTAGCGCAGCGCGCATGGATTTTACCAACATTGGGAAGGGTTTCACGTATTGAAGGCGGGTGGTCTTCGAAATGTAGCTCTCGCTTTAGCGCCATACACACTCGGTTCAAACAATTGCAAGATTTGCACGGGTTGAGGACGGTCTGGTTTTCAATATGTGGCTCTCTCCTCTGCGCCGTGCACATTCGACATGCACATTTGCAGGAGTTTCGCGGATTGAGGGCAGTTCGTTTTCAACATGTGGCTATCGCCTTAGCTCCGCGCGCATTCGTTGTGCGAACTTGCAAGGGCTTCACGGATTGAGGGCGGGCGGCTTTCAAACTGTGGCTCTGGCTGTAGCGCCGCGCACACTCGTATCAAACCTTTGCAGCAAGAGTTTCATTGGTTCTCATTGTCGACGTATCAGACATGGTGTTTTGGAACGGTTCACGAGGTTGGGTTCCCGGGAATGGCGTTTTGGCGCGATTCAGGATCGCCAAGACGAAACAGTAAGGTTAACCCGTGGCGTTGAAGTCCCGAGAATGGTATGGTGGCATGCTTCAAAATGTTCACCCTGTTGTCCCCGAGCGGGGCAACCCCCTCGGTGGAAATGACCCCTTCGTAGAAGCCTGCGAAGAGGGATCTTTTCTTGGAGTGAGGGTGTATTTGAACATCGTTGACGAGTCTTGGGTTTACACGGGTGCTCCTCCTCCTCCTCCGCCTCCTCCTCATCCACCCTCCTTCTCCTCCTCCTCCTCCTACTGTGGCGGCTCTCCCCCATGCCTCGTCGTTGGGTGTGCCGAGGCAACGGAAGATCTTGAAGATCGTGTCGATCTCGGAATCTCCTCGGGATCTCCGAAGCTTAGATGCTCATTCTGGGGACCTTCCTGGAGCGACTCGCGCCGCTCGTGCGTCCAAGCTGCGTCGAACGTCCGCCGACTCGAGTCGAACCAAAGTCGAACCTGAGTCGAAGTGGAATCGAACTGGAATGGAGCTAAAGCGTCGCACCATAATCGAAACAGCGTCGAACAGGTCTGCGAAGTGGGTCCCAAGAGGGTCCCACACAAGAGTATCTGACGAGGCAGGATGCTCGGAGCAAGAGAGGCCAACTCCAACCAACCTCCGCCCGCCGTGCCCAGCCTCAGGCCGCCCACGACAGGCGACCGCGCCGAGGCAAGACGGCAGACGGAAAGACTGATCAGCCCTAACTAGCTCCCGTTCAGCGTGCCCGGCTCCCTGCTCCCCCCCCCCAAGGCGGGAGAGAAGATGACGGGATGAGGAGGCGGAGGAGGAGGAGGAGGACCAGTGTAAACCCAAGGCTCATCAACGATGTTGGGATACGGCCTCCCTCCAAGCTCCCTCTTCATAGGCCCCACACCAGGAGCCACTTCCACTGAGGGGTGTGCCCCGTTGGGGGGCAACTGTGTAAGAATCATGAAGCGTGCCAGAATTCCATTCTCAGGAGGAGGAGGAGGAGGAGGAGGCCTCAACGCCACGAATCAACCTGACAAGTGCATATTGACGATCCTAAGCCGCGCCAAAACAACACAATTCCTGGGACTTCAACGCCGCGGATCAACGCAATTGCTGCGCCCTGAGGACCCTTAACCGTTGGAACTATAACCGTGAAAACCAACAACAAACTCTTGCATCTGTTATCAGATGTGCTCGGCGCTAAAGCGAGAACCACATTTTGGACACCGCCCGCCCTCCATCCGTGAAGCTCTTGCACAACTGCAGAACGAATGTGCGCGGCGCTGAGGCGAGAGCCACATTTTGAAAACGGCCCGCACTCTATCCGTGAAGCTCGTGCAATATTTGAAGCCGGGTGTGCGCAACGCTCAAGCGCGAACCACATTTTGAAAACCACCCGCCCTCAATCCGTGAAACTCTTGCACATGTGCAAAACGAATGTGCGCGGCGCTGAAACGAGAACCACATTATGAAAACGAACCGTCCGCAATCCGTGAAGCTCTTGCACGTTTTGGAAACGAATCTGCGCGGCGCTACGGCGCGAGTCACATGTTGAACACCACCCGCCCTCCATCTGAGAAGCTTCAGGCACATATAATCACAAACAAAGCTCAAGCGAAACGCCCACCCCCCCCGTCCGACCGACCTCAGGGGGCGACCAGGACGAGTTATTCAT